GGTAAACTTTTAAGTGTTCACTTGACTAAATAGAAGAGATATATCTGATATGCTTGCATACAATGTTATTTTGTTGACACAGTGAGACTTTTCAGCTTCTTCCAAAAACACCCTGATGCCAAACAAGTTTTTAACTGTGAGTTTTCTGTGTTAGATTGTCTTTGTGCATAATGATGCTTAGCCAGTTATTCAAAAGTTTAGAAAGAGCTTTTTCTTTTGATCAGCTGGACTTCTGTTATTTCTGCTACTTCTTACATCTCTAAGCCTCTTTGAAGGATTTTATTAGAACAAGTGGTTGGATTTTCTTCATGACAAGTTCCAACCTTTGAGCTATATGGTGTATTTAAACAAGCTAAGGTGTATCTGTTACCAGCAGTGTGTCCACACCCTGTCTTATGCTGAAATTGATACTTTCACCATCCACTCCAAATCCTGTTATCTTGGGTCTTGATTCATTTGGCAATAAAACTAAAATCTTTGAAGGCTGCTTCCAAAATGCTCTCAGACTTGTCATTTTTACATCCACAAGCTATAAGGTATGTAATATGAAGATAAAATTTTTGTTATCCAGACATTCACAGCTTCTAGTTGAGTCAGCTCTTTCTGTGCTACCATCAGTAAATAAAGGAAAAGCCAGCAGTATGTAGTTCAAATTCATTGTTCAGAGTACCAACAATATCTGTTATAAATGTTCTATATGCTTTATGTAGTTTGACTAAACTTCATTTGACTGTTTTCCATCTAGCCAGTTGTTTATCCAATGAGCCAAATTATCCCCCATACTGACAAAGATTACTTTTTTTTAACAAGACGTTTATGTGACACCTTATCAGATACTTTCAGAAAAATCCAGATATATAAAACCACACCCTCATACATAAGCAGTAACCTCTTCAAATAATGTCAAAAATTAGTAAGGTAAGATTTTCCCCTAGTGAATTTTGCTGACTATCCAACAGTATTTTAGTCTTTGGTAAATGCCTTTGCAAAGCATCTTTTATCAGGCTTTCAAACACTTTTCATTCACTGTTGTAAGACTACTAGGCCTGGAATTATGAGAACAATTTTTATTACCTTCTTTGAAATGAGGAGTAATGCTAGCAACTTCCAATCTTCTGACTCCTGCCCACTATTCAAAGACTAAGAAAATAAATAGTAGTGAGAGTGGCTCACATAACCAATCCTTAACATCCTTCAACATCCTTGAGTAAATATTAGCTGGCCCAGGGGCTTTATCATTCTTTATGCTTACATTTCGGAAATGTTCATTAGTAAAAACTGAAGAAAGGGCATAATTTAATAGCTCAGCCATCCTGTAATTATCAGATATTAACCTTCCTATATAATACTTCAGAAGCCTTACTTCCCAGTTACATTTACAGCAAACTATTTCTCATAATTTTTGATTTTCTAATTTCCCATTTGACCAGTTCTCTTGATGTTCTATAATCCTCCACATCTCCCACTAGTGCAGTCAATTTAAACTTCTTATAATGCTTTTCTTTTAATTTTATCCTTTATACCTTTTGTGGGCCAATCTGTGTTTTTCTACATGCAGACATTTTTTTTTTCTTATCTATAACAAACATGCTTATCTTTAATATTAGGTCGTCAAGAAAATAATGTCGCGTTTTGGAACACTTTCATTAACCACCTCCCAAAAAAAGTACATCACGTATAATAGTTAAATGAATCGCCTAAACTTCACCTTAGTGTAGCCTATATAATGTG